TAGCTTGTCTGCCTATTCTGCCATCTTGCCAGAACTCTCTAACTTTCAACCTTTTGATTAGTAGTTGAGTACATTAACTACTTGCACCTCCCAGGGACTCTGCAGAGGCAGAGAATGCCTTATTACCACTCTTACTCAAGGTTTGGCCCTCCAGCCTCCACCAGTTTTCCTTTTTATCTCCTGTATCTCAAAACTTTTCCTCTCCACTAGTACTTTTTGCCTCTAAGCTTGTAAAAGTGTCTCTATTCTTAAAAGAATAACATAAAGAAGGAAATAAAGCTATCCTCCCTTCATCCTGCTTCCTTTTCAACCACCAGTCCAACCTACTGCCATCAAGTCGATTCCAACTCATAGTGACCCGTAGGACAGAGTAGAACTGCCCCATAGGGTTTCCAAGACTGTGAATCTTCATGGAAACAGTCTGTCTTATCTTTCTCCACAGAACTGCTGTTGGGTTTTATTTGTTTATTGTGTTTTAGGTGCAGGTTTACAGAGCATAGTTTGTTTCACATTCAACATTATGTGTACGTTTAGTTTCACTCCCCATTTACCATCCCCAACCCTAACCCAGTCTCCTCCCCTTCCTGCCCAGTACCCCCTACCTTGTGCCCCTCATAGTTATGCACTCCTGTGTGTCCTGCATTTCCTCCATGCAAATGTTGCCCCTCTGGTACCCTGTGCTCGATTGCTCCAAGGGATATATTTCCAGAGTATGTGGGTGCGTCACACTGGGTTGAGTGGTCTGTGTGTACATCTTGTTTACTATTAGACTGAGAGCCAGCCCCTGGGAGTGAGTTTTATTCCAGCCCAGAATGTTTCCCAGGACCATAGTATTGGGGGTCTCACCAGAATCCATCTGACCAGTAATTCTGGTCATTATTGAGTTTTTGGATTTTGTTCCACGTTTTTCCTCCCACCCTATCTAGGATCTCTAGATTTGTTTGATCCATTCCCGAGTAATTGGCATTGGTAGCCAGGCACCATCTGGTTCTTCTGGTCTTGAGGGCCATCGTGTCCTGGGGCTGATTGCTTCCAGATGGCCTTGTTTTTTTGCACTCTTCCTTGCTTCCAATGATAGGAGACCATTAACTGCATCCTAGATGGCTGCTTGAAAGCTTTTAAGACCCCAGTTGCTACTCACCAATGTAGGATGAGGACCAAGACCTTTATGATTTTGTTGTGCCAATTGAGTCTGTTGTCCCCCAGTACTATGGTTCTGAGTTGGTAAATCCGTTGGATCTCTCTCCCAGTGTCTGGCTGTCTGTGAGGGATTACTCTGTGTCTGACTTGGGTTATTTTTGTAAGGATTGCAGCTGTTTTGTATCACTGGTATCTGTGCGAGATTAGCCTCTGCTGAATCGATCCTTGGTCTAGTGTATACTCCTGTTCACTGACCCCCATCTGATCTTCTCAGATGTTTATGTTTTTATCTGTAGCCTGATGTTTGGTGTTAATGGTAGTGCAGTGTTGGGGATGTACTGGTTGGTATTAGTGTCTGTCATTTATATCTTATGTGCACAATTCAGTGTCCTCCCTTTTCCTAATGTTATCATAGTGGTCACAGACTCTTTCTATACCATCCTTCTCCTACATTTTAATAATGGTTTTCAACTGTGAGGAGTTTACACCCGAAGGGACATTTAGGGAGTGTGCTACTGGCATCTCTAGTAGGTAGAGGGCTGCTAAAGAGTTAGAGGTGCTGCTTAACATTGAATTGTTATCAATATCAAGATTGAAAAACTCTGATATAGAATTACTGAAATAGGAAGCACATAATCAGGGCTGGAAGAAATGGGGGAAATTCAGCTTAGTATATCATTGTTTTGTTAATTTTTTTATTTTGGCTACCATTTATTTATTTATTTATTTATTTATTTATCTATCTAACTATTTTTATTTATTTATTTTTATTTATTTTTTCCCTGCTGAGTCAAGCATATGCTAAGCACTTTATGTGTATTAGATCTAATTCTTACATCAGCAGAAAATATTTACAGTACAACGTGGTATCTTAGTTTCCTAGTGCTACTGTAAGAAAAATACCACAAGTTGGTGGCTGTAAAGGACAGGGATTTATATTCTCATAGTTCTGGAGGGTAAAAGTCTGAATTAGGTTCTGGACCTTCATTTGCTTGCGAGGCATGACTCAAAATGGGAAGAAATAGCTGCAGACATTGATTAATAATCAGAAGATGGAATGTACGAAGTCTGAATCTAGGAAAATTGGAAATTGTCAAAAATGAAGTTAAATGCATGAAGATTGATATTCTAGACATTAGTGAGCTGAAAGGGAATCGTATTGGCCATTTTGAATCAGAAAATCACAGGGTCAACTATGTCAGGAATGACAAATTGAAGAGGAGTGGCAACACAGTCATCATCAAAAAGAACATTTCAAGATCTATCCTGCAGTAAAATAATGTCAGTGATAGGATAATCTTCATACGCCTACAAGGAAGAACTATTAATATGACTATTAATAAAATTTATACACCAACCACCAAAGCAAAAGATGAAGAAATTAAAGAATTTTGCCAATTTCTGCAATCTGAAGTTGACCAAGGATGAAATTGAGATGTATTTATTATTGCTGATAATTGGAATGTGACAGTTGGAAACAAGAAAGAAATATCAGTAGTTGGAAAATATGGCCTTGTTGATAGAAATGATGTTACAGATCATATGACAGAATTTTGCAAGACCAATGACTTATTCATTGCAAATATCTTTTTTCAACAACATACATGGTGATTATACACGTAGACCTCACCAGATGGAATACAGAGAAATCAAGTCAACTATATCTGTGGAAAGAGGCAGTTTATACGCTTGATATCATCAGGCCAGGAGCTGACTGTGGACAGGCCACCAGTTGCTCCTATGCAAGTTCAAGTGGAAATGGAAGACAATTAAAACAAGTCCACAAGAGCCAAAATATGACCCTGAGTATATCCCACCCAAACTTAGAGACCATCTGCAGAATAGATTTGATGCATTGAACAACAATGACTGAAGACCAAATGAGTTATGGGATGACATCAAGAACATCACACATGAAGAAAGCAGAAGGTCATTAAGAAGGCAGGAAAGGAAGAAAAGACCAAAATGGCTGTTAGAAAAGACTCTGAAACTAGCTGTGAACAGAAGATTTCAAAGAACATCTCAAGAAGACAGAGTATTACAGTGAAATATGTACAGACGTGGAGTTAGAAAACCAAAAGGAAAGAACACACTCAGCATTTCTCAAGCTGAAAGAACAAAGAAAAAAGTCAAGCCTTGAATTGCAATATTGAAGGATTCTATAGGCAGTAGAAGGAGCTCTGTGGTTCAGTGCCTAAGGCAGTTGACTGTTAACCAGAAGGTTGGTGGTTCACACCCACCAGCCACTCCACGAAAGGAAGATAGGGCAATAGACTTCCATAAAGATTTACCACTTTGGAAATCCAGTGGGGGTCGCTATGAGTCAGAA